AGCCTTGAATTTCTGAGCTCAAGTGATCTTCCCGCCCCAGCCTCCTGAGTAGCTGGGACTACAGGCACATGCCACCATGTCCAGCTATTGTAGAGACAAGATCTCGCTATGTTGCCCAGGCTGGTCTCGAACTCCTAGGCTCAAGCAATCTTCCAGCCTCAGCCTTCCAAAGTGCTTGGGTATAGGCATGAGATTAAAGGAGGGACTTTAAATAAAACCAAGTAACAAAGACTAGTAATTCAAGAGAAGATAAATTCACCATAGTAAACATTCCAAAAACTCTAAGACATGTTTGTTGAATGAGTAAAAGAATGGATGGGTGAAGGATGAATAAAGCTCTAGAACAGTATCTGGAATCTCCATTTCCAGCCATGCCCCAAGCAGAAGGCTGACCTGGCTTTGCCTCTCTTCCAGAGCAAGCCGCCCCTAGTGCTCTTCTGGGTGCCATGGCATTCTGTATACATGTTGGGCATGGCATTGTCCCCCCGTTGCAGTGATCACTTACTGCTAGCCTCCCTCGCTAGACTCTGATTTCCTTGAAGGCAGGGACCATGACCTGCTCACTTTTCCATCCCCAGAGCCCAGTGCAGTGCCTAATATCTAGTAAGTGTTTAGTAACTATTGGTTGAAGGAGTATATACTGTACTGTTTGTATTAATTCAGTTAGGCTGCATAATGACCAGGGTGACAGACGAGTGCAGTTGTCTAAGCTTTCCATGCCCTTGAAACCAACAGCAGACATCTCAGGAAAGCAGGTGCATCACAGAGCTGTTTCACAGTCAAAGAAAAGCATTTACTGAATCAATCTCAACTTGATTCATCTGGAGATTGAATCCAAGACCTTGTCTTTCTTGTAAGTTTTCTGTGGGTGTACCCAGTCAGCTCATCAAGCGAATGGGATCTAGGTAAGAAAACCCAAAAGATGACCTGCTAGTCCTGCACTAGCCAATGATGTTAACATTCTTGGTGTGAATATGCTTTGTATTTCTAAGCTCCATGAACACACTCATTCTTTCCTTTCATCTATACAGACACTAAAAGAAGTGAAATGATTCCTCCAAGATCTCAGGGCAAATCTGTCAGGGCCAGAGGCTTTTTCTCCTGCATTCCACCGCCCTACCCTCTACTCAGTGCTTTCCCTGTTACTCACCTTGAAAAGAGGGGCCTCTCAGTGGACACAGTCTGGGGGATGCTCCATGTTGCTCCTTGGGCCTCACCTCTACCAAGCCAAGCATTGGCAAGCTCTGATCAAGGAAGCTGGGGGTGCTGCCGGGGCTGTAGAGATCCAGCACAGCAGAGAGGGGAGTGGCATATGCCATAGTCGCTTCTTCTGCCCTCCCAGATGCAACTTGACACAACTTGCAGCTACAGAGCCACCATAGTGATGATCCAGCCTGGAGGAGTCAGAGGGAGAGGCTGGCTGAACTGAAGACAGACAGCAGCCAGGAGAAGAGGGGGAGCCCTTTCCACCTGAGCCCAGGACCAGGGAGCCTTCAGGCTGAAGACAAGCTAGTGTTGTCAATGAGTCCTAGAGACAGATGACAGCTAGATTCTTGAAGATGTGGGCCCTAGTCCTTCTCCAGAGCCTCGTGCTCAGGGTGGGGTGACATCAGGCCTTCCTTCAGGAGAACAAAACCAAGTCAATGGTGACTCATCCCCCTTTGGAGACAAGGCTGCTATAGGGTTCAATGGTCCGATTCAAAACTTAAAGAAGTATAGTATTTTTTCCTATTAGAAAAATTCACTAAACAATCGCTGAGTTCTAGGCATTTACATGAAGATGAAAAGGCAGTTTCTATTCCCAAGATGTTTACAGTCCAGTGGAAGGTAAGTGGACACACAAAAATCATACACGAGAAAGGATGTGGTTCAGTGTCACGAAGAGAGGACTAGAACCTGCTCAATGCAGAAACCAGAGCGGGGCATCAGAGGCCACACTCCCGAAAGGCACTCAGAATTCAACCTGGGAGACAAATCATGACAAATATCTGTGATTCTAGGCCACTGAGCAGTTTCCATGGCTGCAGCTCTCCTTCCTATTCTATTTGGGATGATGATAATAATAATGATGATGATCTTTCCAGGTACTTCTTACACGCAGGGCCCTTTGCACCCACTGCCTCATGTCATCATCAGAGCTACCCGAGGTGCTTGTTTCTATCATCCTATTTTGCAGTTGAGGAAATTAAGGCCTCGAGAGGTTATGTCACTCATCCAAAGTCAATCAGCTGGAAAAAGTTGGAGGTGATCTCTATATCCAGCTTGTATTTAAAATTGTAAATGTGATAGCATCTATAAACAATAACTGCTTCCAAAAGTGAAAGCCTCCCCACAGATTCTGGGGACATGCTCAATTGTCCCATGGAGCCGCCAGGTTCTGATGGCATCTGTCTCTCTCTCTCTCTCTGGAGCCAGGCTCCCAGACTCTAAAGCTCCCTGGGAGTGAACCGAGGCCAACAACTCCAGGCAAGAAAAAGTCAAGATTAGGAAAGAAAATCAACACCACACATCTCAGAATTCTGGAGAATCCAGTGAAAGCACCTCCCCCCACCCTCATCAAACCTCTCTATGATGGTCTCTAAATCAAATGTCTTGGCCTCAGTCTCAGTCCTAAGGCCCTCTGGACTTCAGGGACTCTCCTTGTCCTTGAAGGATGAGTAACTAAGAAGAGATTAGTCTGTGTCCACTTGCCTATGGTGCTCCACCTTCCCTTCAGTGTCTCAATGAATCATAAGCTGTTCGATCTGACAGAGGCTTTAGTGGTTCTCTAATCCAATCCTTTTACTTTATATGTTACACACTAACAGTGGTTAATGGCAGAGCCACGAGGACGCTTTTGGTTTCAGTAAAAAAAATCATTTTACCACCAAACACTGATATGATTCATCTCCTTTCATTTCAAAACGCAGAAAAGGATCTTACAACAGGCACATGTATAGAGAATCTCCTATTTTGACCCAGCAGCAGCGTCCCCTTTTGTATTGGAGGTATGTGGGTGGCTGGGGTGTGGAAGCAGAGTCACGCGCTTCCCCAGTGCTGAGCACAGAGGCTGCTGCTGCCAGCCTGCCCTCTGCCTCTGATCCGGCTCCCCCAGCAGCCCCGCCATGCTCACGGCCAGCAGTCATCCATTTTGTTTGCCAGGTTCCTTCTTGGCTGTACCCACTGGCAGTCAGAGCTCGGCTGGTCTTTTTGCCTGCTGGCAGCTTCTCTGGGACATATGATTTGTGGAGAAGGGCCTGCCAGAGGGGAGCGGAGATGCCCTCTCAGGGTCCCTGCAGGAGGGTGACAGCACCAACGGGCCAGGCCCACTCATCGCGACCCGTATTCTCCATTTGGAACAGCAAACACTGCTCTGTGACTTGTCTGGGCAGAGAGAGAGACCAGGCGGGGAAAGCCCGCAGAAGGTAGAAGAGGGCATTGACTGTTCTTCTGCTCATCTGAGAGGAGCTGGCTAGGCCTACTCACCCATGTTGCCCATCCACTTCTGGGACCCTCGATCCACCTCTGCAGGTCAACTCCCTCCCCTCCATGCCTTTTAGGAACCAAACCCGTGGTTTGAAGAGCCTAGTAGGTTCCCATAGCAATGGGCCTTTTAGCTGTTTCCATGGCAACAAACACTCAGACCATTAGTTGCTAGTCAACTGACAGCTGTAAGTGAATCAGATTCAGTTTAGACTCAGAGGGATAGGCCTAGGGATTCTCTTCAGACAAAAAGACACAACCACCCAAAATGACTCAACTCTAAAGACTTTCAGGCAATGTGTGCGGAGATCCAGAGCCACTTTCTATCTTGGGTCACAGAACACCCCTCCCACTGCATTTCCAGCACATACGAACTCGACTGAGTACCCCTGGCCTTTAAGGAGAGCGCACCCCAACTCTTATCTCTTGTCCTGCGTCCTTCCCAGAGGGCCCTTGGGAAAACACTCATTTAGCCTTTTACCCTGGTGACTGTCTTCTGTGCCAATGCTCCTCCTATGTGCCATGAACCTGTCCTGGTACCAACCCACTCACATGAACACTGCTTTTTGAATGATCTTAAGTAAACGGCTGACCCCAGATCACCTTGTTTGTCAGCCTCACTCATCTCAAGACACCCTTCCTCTGCCTGGAGCTTAAAAAAAAACCAACTTATTTTAATGGACCTGTTAATCCTAATCAAATATCCATCAAATTTTAAAACCACAGATATAATGTGTTCTCAGTCTGTTTTCTCAACCACAGCGAAGGGTCATCAAGATCACTCTGTTCCTTTTTTAAAAAAATCAACTAAGATGTCAAAACCAAACATTCAGGATTTGAAATTACTCCATGCTTATTGTGTTTTATTAGCATGATTTGACTGGACACCAGACCTTGCATTTAACTATCTACCAAACTGAGGACACTGAGTGTGGGGGTTCCCTTAATCTGTAAGCAGAAGTGTTCCTCATCATTATTATTTAACAATTGGAGACTGAGGTTGACTTGCCCGGGAATTCTTGCAAGAGAAGAGCTGCATCTAGGCCTCCAGGGCTAACTCAGCACTCAAAAAGCAGGAGACTGTCACTGGAAAGAGTGTGATCTTTTTTATATACCTGAGACTCAGTGTTTTTGCAAAGCTCCCTCACCCCCAGTCCTGCTTACTTGCTACCGCGGGCACCAGGCAGCCCTGCTGTGGCTGGCAGTCACGGGCTGTTGTATTCTCCCACTCTGACAGAACGGTATGCCCCAGCCAAACTGCATGTCTTCTTCAATTTCCAAAAAATCTATTTATACTCTATATCTTAAATAGTATTTCTCCACACTTTTTTCATGATCACTCCTTAATGAGCTTAAAAAAGAAAAACCAACTTATTTTAATGGACCTGTTAATCCTAATCAAATATCCATCAAATTTTAAAACCACAGATATGTGTATTGGCTTATGTACTGTATTATATACTTGTACTTTATACATAAAAATACTTTTTTTGTCCCCAAGAACAAATTTTCACAAAGAATGCATGGCATAAACAATGAAAGGTTTATAGTATGAAAACATTTATTTTTTAAATTCAAAGAATAAATGGAGAAGAACATCTAGCACTTAGGTATGTGAATTATTTCCAAAACAGTTTAACATTCAACTAGTCAGTCGTGTCAAAACTAACCCTCCCTGAAGCAGGAACTGTTCCCAGCCACAGGCTGTTCTCATTTTGCACTGTAGTGTGTTCCCCTCTTCTTTCAACACGTGAGGGCAGAAAAGCATGGAGGGCAGGTAGCCTCAAGCGAGCTGAATTACATATCTTCTGATAACAGGGAGATAGCAGACAATTGTGAGAACTGAGTTTTTCCAGACCCCTCAGAAAGTTCTGTGCACAAAGGACAGCTGTTTTCTTGAGGAGACATCACCATACCTTGGATTGAAACTTCTGATTTTCCTGCTATTTCTAGACAAATTACAATGTCTGTCTCCTAGAGTGCCAGCTAACATTTACAGCGTGTATGCTATATGCCAAGACGCATTTGATGTACCTGGTCTCATTAATCCTCACAGGCTCACTATTATTATTCCTATTTAGCAGATAGGGAAACTGACCCACAGGGAGAGAAAGTGATTTTAAGACCAAACCAGTAGTCCTATTAATCAGTGGAGTCAGGATTCACCTTCAGGCAGTCTGAGGCCAGAGACAACAGCAGTTAACCATCTTGGGAATTCACACAATTCTGATACACACAGGGTCTGACATTGGAAATAGGGTGAGCTGTCCTGCTTGACTCAATGTGACAGGATTCACAAAAGACCCAAGCTAAAAAGTCCAGTGGTTGAGCGGCTCCCGGGCATTACATAGGAAAGTATGGCTGTTGATAAGTTATTCCTGATCCACTGCTGTCCCCTGGTGGTTTTCCTGGGAAACTCACAGGCCAAAGAAATCCAAGGGTCGAGTGAAATTATTGGGATGAAAAAAAAAACGGACCATATGAATTGTTTGCTCATAAGCACTTTGTACGAGCTCACTTCAACCTAACAAGGGCCTTCCAAGGCCCATGTCATTCAACCCAACTGTGAAGAGGGTGGTAATCCCTGTACCACTAAGAGCTGACAGACAGTACACTGACTCGGATAGCAAAATACGTGCCCATAATCATACTTGTACTTTAAGAGTAGGAAACTCCAAGATGTAATTAGTTTAGCCATGATTCGCTTATGTTGCACTTCATCTTAGGTTCTGGGCTTTCCTCATTGCGGCAGGGGTTTCCCAAAAGATGCCTCATCCTAAGCTCCCTCAGCCTGTCATGTCAGGTGTTGTCATTATTCAATTAAGTGATATTTGCTTCTTAGCAGGTTGGTGATATAAGATGTGCCAAATCAGGTTATTCTTTACAAAACAGGTAGATACCATCTAACTGGGCAAAAAGGAAGAAAAAGACAGTTTCTGAAGAAGTTATGTCTTCAGTGCACTCTGGGACTATGGACCTGGGGTCTTGCCTTCCATGGGTCTAGGGGAATGTCCTCTGAAAGAAGCAGGTGATCACAGCCCAAATGCAGAAGACAAGACTGATGAGTTTTTATTTATTCAAAGATACATTTGCAGGGGCAGAAAGAGGCCACAGGTTAATGCTGTTAAAAAAAATTTTTTTTTAATCAAAGGTCTACTAACCAAGTGCTGCACTTAATGAAAACCACCTAAGACAGAAAAAGAGACGAGGACCACAGAGAACCAGCCACCCAGAGCTGAACCCTGCCACAGAACACCTCTTCTCTACTGAGTCACTGGGCACCACCACGGAGAGCAAGTCACCATGGCTGAAGCAGCAGAACTGGAGGTGCTGTCAGGAGCCAGCAGACTCGCTGGTCACACGCACCAAACTCAGTGAGGCACTTAGAGATGAGGTGCCTGTGGACAGAACGTCCCAGCCAAGATGAAAGTGGGCCAGAACCCTTGCTCTATTGGAGGGTGATACCCTAGGGCAAGTTATCTGATGTCCTCTAAGCAATCCCTTCAGGTCCTGCCTCCTAGAGTCTTCCTTATTCCAGCAGCAAAAAGCAATGAAGACAATTAAATCAAGCCCCACAGTTCACTCTCTCTTCTTCCCTTCAACCTTTTTATAAAGGATATTACAAAGGCGACAGTTGTGAGCGCTCAGGAAAATAGGGTCTTAGATGCTTTTCGAGGTTGAGAGGTGTAAGACAGCAGTTTCGGAATTCCTTTCATCTCATGGCACTGATTTAGTTTCCGATGATTGCTCCTCCACTTCTTCCCTCCCTCCACCTGTGCCCCTCACCCCAGAGAGACATACTGGTACTCAACAGCTCTAGCCTTCTATCTGTACTGGAATTCTCCAGCAGAAGAGATTTTGCTCATTTTCAGTCTGAAGTTGCCACTCCACCACCAGTTTTATCTGGAGTAAGAGAAAAAGAATTGGGAAAAACAAAAATAGGAACAGATCACAATCCATAATTGGCTTACAACCTGGATGTAAATTTCTTTCTTTTTTTGAGTTGGAGTCTCACTCTGTCACCCAGATTAGGTGCAGTGGCATGCTCATGGCCACCGCAGTCTCAACCTGCTGGGCTCAGGCAATCCTTCCACCTCAGCCTTCCAAGTAGCTAGAACGACAGACGCAGGCCACCATGCCCAACTAATTTTTTGATTCATTGTAGAGACAAGGTCTCGCCAAGTTGCCCAGGCTGGTCTCGAACCCCTGGGCTCAGGCAATCCTCTCACCTTGGCCTCCCAAAGTGCTGGGATTACAGGCTTGAGCCCCCACACCCAGCCTTGTAAATTTCAATGAACTGCCTAATTCCTCACACTTTTCCTCTTAAATCATGCCATCGTGAAGCCTGCTTCAACTTAAAAGAGTAAACCAAGTTACATCTATGATTGGGTACTAGCAGCACTATATCCTAACCTAGTTAATTTATCACATATTATTTCTAAAGCAGTATTTCCTCTCTCAGACCATTGGTACATTAATGAAGGCTTACATGAAGAATCATTTTACATTTAAGCAATTCCTCATGTATTCGGCATTCTGACCCAGCTTTCTCTAAGTGTAACCAAGAAGAGCAGAGAGTAAAATAATTACTAGGTTCTTGGGAATAAGAAAATCTCATTAGCTAGAAGTGGAAATGTCAGAGCATAAAGGATAGTCCAAAAAAGTTTATGACTATGCGAATAATTTCAAGGACAATAACCCTTTGTAGCAAAAAACCTTCGGTTAATTTTATGTCCTATCAGTGATCTCTGCTTTGACTTGCTACAGGGTATGAACTGTCCTAATTCTTCATAACTCATGGAAACTTTGCATGTCCTTTCTTATGTGGACATTAGCTTACTTGTCATTAGTTACTACCTCCCTTTTGTACACAAATGTTTCTTCACAATGGTACATTTGAGTGACAAAATCCTTGAAACTTGCTTTGTAAGTTTTCAAGACTAATATACATTAACTACTGCTTTACTTAGTGCTGAAACAGTTTGAGCTGTTTTATTTTAATTAAATGTGATTCTCTTGACAGACAGCAACTACCACATATCAAGCATCTACCACACAGCAGGCCCTGACTAGACACTCTGCATGCATAACTGAAATTCAGGTATGCCTATTATTACAGGGATGCTGTGTCAATTAACCTACAAATCTGTCCCTGACTTTTAGGGTCTCCAACATCCCTTAAGCACAGATGTCCTATTTGAGTCTCTTTAGAATTTTCTTTAATTACTTGCCTTTTCTAGAAAATAAATGACCACATCACTCCTGGGTTCTCTTTGGCTTCCTTTTAAGAAATGCAGCTTTTCTTTTCCTCATGGAAAAAAGTAATCTCCTTACTTCCTCCATTCTTATGAAGATTCCTAATTTTAAGCCCACTCTGGCAGGACCTGCCTTACAAGTGCTTGGTAGAAGAAGAGGTAGGTAGAACAGGGGTGGCTCAGAGGTAAAAGTGGGGGCTGGGGGAGTGAAGAGGAGAATGGAGAGTAGAAAATGCAACCTCTCTGCCATGGAGCTAACCAACTGTACTGCTCTCTTGTTAAGAGACTGATGGAGAAACCAGGATTTACAATGCTAAGACAGCTTGGGTCTTGAACTACTTGGTACCTGCCTAAAATCTTTTAACGCTGCCCAAGCTCTGGAGCTATCAGAACTAGCTCTAAACCTAGCTGCAATATTTCTTAGTAGAGCCGACTCTGTCTATATTGCATAACTCAAATTTCTTCATCTGTAAGATGGAGGTAAGATTACCTCTACATAGGGTGGTCATGAAAACCAGGTGAAATACTGTACATAAAAATGGCAGCACAGGGTCCAGGCTAACCATCAGGCTATGGTAAAGGAACAAAGGGACACAGTGATTGACACCTGCCCTATCTCCCAGTTCCAGACACTCACACTTGCCTCCCTTCCCTCAGGCTCTGCTTCCCCAGCACAGAGATGAGGGGCCCTTTGCTTGTCTTTTCTTCTTCCCCGTAGCCTCCAGATTTCTAATCTAGTCCCAAGGCCTTCCGTGCCCTTAGCAGCAGTGTCACTTACAGAGGGATATTCGGTTTTCACGGGTAGTTTATTCAGGTAGCTATAGGTCTTGTCTTTTTGAATGGGGCAGTTGATTCCACTCTTACAGCCATCAGGCTCAGGAATGGGAAAGGGAACTGGGATGCCCATGACGATGCCATGCACCGTGGCCTTGCTGGTTTTAGATGCAGTATCTAAGAAAAAAGAGAATCAGATGGCAGGAAAAACAGCCTGTTCTCTAACTCTAAATAAAAAATTCAAGATAATCTCAAGCAACAGCAAATCATAAAGCATGCACCTCTTAATTCCCAGTTTCTTTCTCTTTGCAGTTGTGCTTAGTACCTAGCACCATGCATGTATTCACTCCAAACTTGAAAAATCACTGAATTATGCAAACAGAGCAATCAACAGGAACGGTTTTCTTTGTTCTTGACCTTTCCTTCACTGCCTTTCAGTTTCTCAGGAGAATCAGAGCCACAAGGATAAAAAACCTTATCCAACAAGGCAACTGATTTTTGACAATAAAGTTTGTTTTTGCTTTTTTTTTTTGAGTAGGAGTCTCACTCCATCGCCCAGACTGGAGTGCAGTGGCACACTGATGGTCACTGCAGCCTCAACCTGCTGGGCTCAGGTGATCCTTCTACCTCAGCCTTCCAAGTAGCTGGAACTACTGATGTACACCACCACACCCAGTTAATTTTATTGTAGAGATGAGGTCTTGCCAAGTTGCCCAGGCTGGTCTCGAACCCATGGGCTCAGGCAATCCCCTCAACTCGGCCTCCCAAAGTGCTGGGATTATAGGCGTGAGCCACTACAACTGACTGACAATAAACTCTCTGTTTACTATTTACATCAGCTTCTATGAAGTATATGTCTTAAATGCCATGGTCTGCAACACAGTGAGAAAGGTAACCCTTTAGAAAGTGGGAAAGATTAGAAAGCAGTGTATTTCTTGGTAACCTCTAGCTCCATATGACAAGAAGGGCAGGAGAAATAAGGGTATCATAAAATTTGGACAGTCAGACTTAGGAGCTGTTGGGGTGTTTTGGAAATCCAGAGAACTGCCTATTTCCTTCTGTCTGGGTTGTGGATGGCTTGTTTAGAAGGCATTTGTTTGGTCTGAAACAATAGAGGGACTAGGGTGAGGTGTCTTTAGGTTTACAAAGTAGACATGGCAGGAACTTTGGGGTTTCTTCTTAGACTGTCTAGTCTAATTTCATAGAATAGAAAGTGAAGAAAGGAATCAAGGCAGATGCTATGTTCAAAAAGATTTTATGTTTGTCTAGATTCTTGGGAGTCTGAAGGTGATGAATGTGGTACAAGAAAGTAACATTCAGTAACTCTTGAATATTACTGGAAAGAAAGCTCAGATTTCTTGATTGTTTCTTGGGTCCCCAGTGGGCTCCCTAAACCTTATGGCGGCTGTTAAGTATTAATTGCACCTTTATTTTCAGGCGGGAAGTAGACTTACTAGCTCAAAGGTATTACTGCTTAAAATAACATTTTGGAGATGTTCCAAAGTTTATAAAACTGAGGTCTGTATTAACACTGTGCAGTCTGTAGCTAGACATTGCTGACATTCCCATAGAAGTTTGCTGTGCTGTGTGGGCCAGGACAAGACAGAGGAAAGTCCAACTGTCTTCTCTAACCTGTGAACACACAGAAACTTGTTTGTTTAAAGGAATTCTGGTAGCCATGGAGTCTGGGAAACAAGCATATGGGAACCTAGAATGAGAAAGGTATCAAAGGACACAGAGAACCCTAGTTTTGCACAGGTTGGAAGGGAGGTTCGAGAATTCCTGACTGCCAATCCTCTCCCCCATTCCTATGCTCCCAGTACTTGAGATTTATGTGATGGTTTAGCATGAATTTGAGGGGAAGAGCCACTCTCACTCACTGCTGGTGAAGGTGACATTGACACTGTAAGACTGTCCTTTGATCAGCTGGCAGGGCTGCGTGGGACATGGGTTCACATTCAGTTCCTTTATAACTCCAACCTGAGAACCTAGAAAAAAAGAAAAATGAATTGGAATAGAAGCTAACCCAAGGTTACCCACCACCTGTTGGGAAGGTGCTCTGGTCTCCCAATTAGGATGAGCTCCTTCTCCTCTGACAGTTTTCCTGGGATGGAATCTTTATGACAATGCCCAGTTAAAAGTCAGAATCTTGACTCATCTTACTGTTAAAATCATGGCCTGTAAATCAGATGAAAAGAGAGCTAGTTGGTCTTGACAAAGAAAGTTATTTGTAAACATCCAGAGACCATATCCACAGAAAAACCACAACAAACAAACAAACAAAAAACTATTAAAGGGATTAAACCACAACCACAGAAACCCCAAGTATTCTCAGGTTCTTGTCTTGCATTCTTTTTTTTTTTTTTTTTTTTGAGTTGGAGTCTCACTCTGTCCCCAGACTGGAGTGCAGTGGCCGCTCCCAGCCACCGCAGCCTCGACCTGCTAGGCTCCGGCGATCCTTCCACCTCAGCCTTCCGAGTAGCTGGAACTACAGGCGCGCGCTACCACGCCCAGCTAATTTTTTGATTTTTATTGTAGAGATGAGGTCTCGCCTGCCCAGGTGGGTCTCGAACCTGCGGGCTCAGGCAATCCACTCATCTCAGCCTCCCAAAGGCGCGGGATTACAGGCTGGGCAACCGAGCCCGGCTTGTCTTGCATTCTTAAGGGCAAGGAGTCACAGCTCAAACCTACACCCTGAAGATGTTTGCTTCAACCTGCCTTTTGAGTCCTGTTTCCCCTTTCATTTTCTTTCTTTTTTTTTCCAAGTAAGAAAGTAGAAAGAAGTAAAGTTTATCTTTCACCTTTCACAGACTAGAAAGGGAGCTGACACTCAGAGGCAAGTGCGGCCTCCCCTTTCATTTTCCAGCACATAGATAAGCACATACATTTGGTGAAAGTTGCTCATGATGGGAAAAACACACTTTATGCAGAAATAGCTAGAAGACAAACCTGGAGCCTGAAACTCCAAGGAGGAAGATCAGAAATGAGCTATGGTGTCTTTCCAACCCAAGTTCTATACGTGCAAATGCTGACTAGGGAGTCTGTTATTATTTGTTGGAAAGTCTGACAGATCTCGGAACAGACTGAACCTTTTTGGAGGTCCTGGCTCCAGAAGTTTTTTGTTCCTGAATTGTTTTTAGACTCTATGGAAATTGTATCTTGGGTGGCATGGACGAGGGAAAGCCAAAGCATCTGAAGAAAACATTTCACAACAATGGGTGTTATCAACTTTGTTTCAGGGGTTAGAAGAAAGCAGAAAGATGACTGTGACTTATCCAAGGTTGCAGTGCCTGCAAGGGGCAGATTCAGGACTCAACAGGTTGCCCCAACATGGAAGCCCTTGTCACCGGAACCTGAAGAAAGCTTTAACTACGTAGTCATAGTGACAAAAGAAAGGAAAACCAGAGGAAAATTCCTGACTGAGAATGCCTCGAGGACTCTGGAGGAAGATTCAGGTTCAGGCTCAACTCTTTAGGTTTCCTGACTCCTCATCACCTCTCTGCCCCCATAGAACTCTCTTTCTATCCTAGAGCCTCAACCCATTGCCTCTGCGATTGTCAGTGAGGCTGTACCTTCTGTCCAGATTTTATATCCTTTCCCTAAATTCCTGGTAAATCGTTTGCCTAGTATTTTGGCTTCTTGGAATCTCTTCATGTTTTTGCTCCAGCCTGGCTTCCTAGAGAAATATGCAGAGCTATTCTTAAAGGTAGGGTGAAACAATGAAAAGTGTCCACTCTTGGCTTTTTAAACTGAGCTGATTCCAGAAGCTCACTCACTTCTGAGTAAGAGGACTACGGAACAGAAGAGCAACTACCGTCTTAACCCTTAACAGAGGAATGGCTCTCAAGAGGAATGACACTTGAGAGGAACTACCTTCCCCTCCCCTTCCCCTTCCGAACTGGGAACTGCACTATCTCCACTGTACTTCTGCGGGCTCTTCAGTTATTTAGTCATGTGCTTTGAGGTCCACCTATGAGTCATGAAGTATTTTGGCTCGAAAAAATAACAGGCAGTACCTCAAATGTTGACTGAACTGTTAGGACCTTGATTTTTCCAAGAATCATGGAGATGAAGAGGGGGCAACGGGCAAGTCCTTATAGTTCCAGTACAAGTTCAGGGCATGATTATACAAAATTCCAAGTCACCAAGATGGCAGAAGTACTAGCTGCATTAAAGAACACTGCTATCTGAGTCTAGGTTTTACTTCCTCTGAAATATTTACTTAGTCCTAGGTCTATACAGCTGCTTAGAATAGTATGCTTGCAACTACTGCAAATTTTTTGAAAAATAAGGGTTAGATGTGAGGAAGGTATTGGAAGTGCCAAAAATAGGATTAATCGGACTGGCCCATGTCCTTTCTAAGCAGTATCAAAAACTGACTTATAGCCGGGCTTGGTGGCTCAGCCTGTAATCCCGTGCCTTTGGGAGGCTGAGGTGAGTGGATTGCCTAAGCCTGCGGGTTCGAGACCCGCCTGGGCAGCGAGACCTCATCTCTACAATAAATCAAAAAATCAGTCGGGCATGGTAGCGCATGCCTGTAATTCCGGCTACTCGGAAGGCTGAGGCAGAAGGATCGCCGGAGCCCAGCAGGTCGAGGCTGCGGTGGCTGTGAGCGGCCACTGCACTCCAGTCTGGGCAACAGAGACTCCAACTCAAAAAGAGGCAAACAAAAAAAACTGACTTATGACTCACAAACTAGGCACAGCTCAGGAGTCATTCAATAGAAGCAAACAAAGCACCGGGGAATCAACTAGACATTCTTTATACATCTCTGAACACATTCTCTTTAAAAGCTCTGAAAACAGTTCCTATTTGATAGGTAAAGAGGACTTGAGCACACTATGACGTACACAGAGTCAGCCCTTGCTCTGTATCTGGGAGGGTCGTGACAGGGAAAGTCATACTCTATCCCCCCCATCCCAACATGAGGTTTTAAAGTAGCCTATGTGGCCCAAGCGATGGCTCTGGTCCTATAGCTACCATTTCCACTTGGAATCTTGAGGCTGGCAGCTCCCAAACTGTCCCCCTCTCTCCCCCACCATCTTTCAATTTCACTAGTGTCTCACCAGTCAGTGGTCTCCAAATTTTGACTATATACCTCTACCTCTACCAATAAGAACAATTTTAAGCACCTATCTGCAATATACAAATGTATACTCCACTTTGAAAATCGTGTTCTTTGAAATTAGTGCCTCTGAGGCAGAGAGTGTCTTTTATTTTATTTTATTTTTGAGTGGGGGTCTCACTATGTCATCCAGGCTACAGGACAGTGGCACGATCATGACTCACCATAGCCTCAACTTTCTGGGCTCAGGCAATCCTTCTGCCTCAGCCTCCCAAGTAGCTGGAACTATAGGCATGCACCACCATGCCTGGCTATTTAAAACATTTGTTGATTGTAGAGACGAGGTCTCGCTATGTTGCCTAGGCTGGCCTTGAACTTCTGGGCTCAGCAATCCTCTCTCCGCAGTCTCCCAAAGTGTTAGGATTACGGGTGTGAGCCATTACACCCAGCCAAAAGTACCACTTGTACACAATGAATGCCTGACCAAGGAAGGTTTAAACACAAGTCTTTAAAAATCCCATTTCCTCATCCAGACCTCTGAAACTGGACAGCTGAGTGGAAGAGAATGCACGTGAGCTGCATAACAGTGTCAGGCTGAGTTAGATTCTGTCATTCAGGCTTCATCTCTGAGAGCAGACTGGAATCTCATCAGTCCCGCTACTTACTGAATAACCTCCACGCAAGGTATTTCACCTCCCAGGTGATAATAATAGGGTGGTGAGCTAGCATACACACAGCTCCAAGAGCAGTGTTTGGAATATAGTGATATCTAAGTGTTTACAATTATCACTGTATCCAGGTTTATACCTTGAATTTAATCTAAAATAATAGCTCCTGGGTAAATTAGCAAATTCCCTTTTGATACAAAGGCTAGGCCTCTCATTTGAAATATACTTTGTGAATAGAAATTATGTTTCCAGCCAACAGAATGGATCCTTTCTGTCTCAAAACCAGAATGTACAGACAGAAAGCAAACTGCAGGTTGAGAGTGTATTACCTGCCATGTGGTCCCCAGATTAGCCAAGTGCTGACATGAGCTGACAGTTTCACTTTGCTTTCTCTCCTGTGCCTGCCTTGGGTGGGACAGTCTCTTTCAACTGTCTCTGTCATCACATTGCCCAATACCACTCCCAGGTCTGAACATGACACCCGGCAGGCCATTCTTTCCCAGCTTACTGCTCCACATGGCAAAGTTCTCAAACTGTATACACTCCAAGCACCCACAACAGTTTGAGAAGCACTCTCTTCCATTCCACCCCATCTTCTGTGAACAGGAAAAAAATATCCTGAACTTCAGTCAACAATCTGCTGAAAATCAGTGCTTATGTGAAGGTTTTCAAATGCCCAGTTTCTACCTGTTTCCTTCACAGCTGGGTTATATAATCTAGTAGGAAGTGAGTAGAGGGTAGTACTTGTAGGTTTTTTTTGTTTTTGTTTTTGAGTTGAAGTCTCACTCTGTCACCCAAACTGGAGTGTAGTGGCATGCTCCTGGTCATCGCAGCCTCGACCTGCTGGGCTCCAGTGAAACTTCCACCTCAGCCTTCCAAGTAGCTGGAACTACAGGCATGTGCTACCATGCCCAGCTAATTTTTTATTTTATTTTATTGTAGAGATGAGGTCTCGCCAAGTGGCCAGGTGGGTCTCGAACCCGCGGGCTCAGGCGATCCACTCACCTCAGCCTCCCAAAACGCAGGATGACAGGCAAGTCACTGAGTCTGGCACTTGCAGCTCTTTTATCCAATCAATTACCCACAACAAGACAACTTCCAATGTCAAGAGAACAAACTCCTTATCTCTAACCTGCAAACATTACACAACTAGTGTGCTTGGCCCCATTCCTCACCTGAGGAAATCCTACCCTAGGGGAAGGTGGGTGGAGAGAGGAAGGCAAACTCTTGATATGGGTGATTAAGTTTTTACTTTGGTATTTGCCCATTTAAAAGTAAGTTGAAAATCTGCAACTGGAGCCCTTCTTCCCTCTAAGAAGTTGAAAGGACATAACATGGATTTAATATACTCAAAGAGCGGCCATTTTAACATTGCCTAAATCTTATGTTTTTCTAGTAGTTTACTTAACTTACATCTAATCACTAGCCAAGGACAGAACCAATTTCCCAGACATAGCTATTGATAATTGTTTTACAACTTCCCTCCCCAGCTTGTTTTATACTAATAAGTCTTTCTATTTCAAGTGTTTTCCTCCACCCATAAGACCCAAGTTAACCTAATTAGCCCTTCCTGAACTCATGACACAGACCCCACCACAAAGCAACAATCATGTGACTAACCCACCCATCTGCTTGCTATCCATCACTTGACATCAGTACCAGCACTTACCTGCCCTTTTGTGTTGATGTGCAGCAGACCATCACCCAATCACCTTAACAACCTTCCCCCATCAAAGGGAAGAATTAAAAGGATTCAACCACGAGCAGCCAGTCGCCATTGCTTTGTTAAACTCTGGTGTGTCCACGTGGCTCTGTGAGCTACCCTCATGCTTCTTAGCTTTGGCCTCCTCCCCAACCTTGGGGAGGAGAATCTCCTAATTTGCTTTCTAAATAAACTATATTTCCAATCTAACTTCTGTGCAATTCTTTGCATCTTTCACGTGGCACTGGATCACACAACCCTACCGCAGTGTGTCTGATCTAACATTTGGAGGCACCGCTGGGATGTGTATTTTTAATCCAACCAAAGTTCTCTCCATAGGTGCCCTAAGCCCTAAATGAGTAGAATAATTTCTGGATTTATTTCCCTATCCTTTTTTTTTTTTTTTTAATGTTACCATTGAAACCCAAAATAGCTTACAAAGACCCACCAGTTTCCTACTGCTCACTAGCTGTAAGATTTTAGGCAACTTACTCTGTGCTTCAGTGTCCTCAACTGTAAAACAGATAGTGAGATTGAATGAGTTAATAAAATAGTGTCTTCATTCAAATATTGGTCATTAAGTTTAATGGAGGGAAGGCAGTCATTTGAAGTAATAAGCATCTTTCAAGCGCCAGTCTCCTAATTCAATGGAACTGCATTTGTTAAATGTTAATAGGCCAATAGTCTATCCCTTAATCAGTCCTGTTCCCTAATCCCCAAATGTGCTTTTGCCTTAACCTGAATTTAGATAACACAGTGGAAGAAAGAGTACATGTTTCCTCACTCACTTTTTAAAAAAAGTTTAATTTAATTATTTATTTATTATTTTTTTGAGTTGGAGTTTCACTCTGTCACCCAGACTGGAGTGCAGTGGCACGCTCCCGGCCATCTCAGCCTCACCCTGCTGGGCTCTGGCGATCCTTCCACTTCAGCCTTCCAAGTAGCCGGAACTACAGGCGTGTGTTACCACGCCCGGCTAATTTTTGATTTATTGTAGAGATGAGGTCTCGAACCCATGGGCTCAGGCAATCCACTCACCTCGGCCTCCCAAAGTGCTGGGATTACAGACTGAGCCACCGAACCCGGCCGCTCACTCACGTTTTAAACAAATATTTATTGAGCACTTACTTTGCTTTCCCATTCTGCTGTGTGACTTCAGTCGTTACCTAACATCTTCAGAATTCAGTGTTTGACTCTGTGATCTCCTTTCCACTCACAGATTTTTACAAAGTCAGGTTCCTGCCTCTTTCATGGATCAATGCACCCCTCCACCTCCACCCTGGAACAAAATGGTTCCAGTTCTGTTCCAACAATGAATTCTACAGAATTGCCTGAATGAACGCATTCAGAATTTCTACTCCCTGCTGTATTTTCCCACAACGATTCCTACCACAGAGGGAGTTATGCACCAAAGTTGATTAGAGACACAATGAGTTTCATGGGACGAAAAACTGATTAAGAATCACAAGATCCTATAGCCCAAATGAAGCCCTGTTTATAAGTCACGAAAAGGGAAGCTGACTTTCGACTTATCAGCAAAAGAGAATTTTTTTTTTTTTTGAGTTGGAGTCTTACTCTGTCGCCCAGACTGGAGAGCAGTGGCCGCTCCTCGAACCTGCTGGGCTCCGGCAATCCTTCCGCCTCAGCCTTCCGAGGAGCGGGAACTACTGGCGCGCGCTACCACGCCCAGCTGATTTTTTGATTTATAGTAGAGATGAGGTCTCGCCAAGTTGCCCAGGCGGGTCTCGAAAGCCAAAGAGAATTTAAGAAGAGTAAAGTGTGTGTGTGTGTGTGAGATTCAAACACAAGGCATTAAAAAAAGAAGCTCTGTGCTTCTTTCCGGGACTCCTTACCCCCCGCTCCAGCTGGATTTTAGGGTTTTCAATGTCCAGCTTCTACCCGCTACTTTCAAGGTTGGGTCATATAATCTAGTAGGAAGTAGGTAAAGGGTATACTTGCAGCGGTCTCGTCCAGTTTTTTGCTGAAAGAGGTTCCTGACTTCCAATGTTAACAGAACAAACTCCTCAGCTCTAACTTGCAAATATTACAAATCCTAGTTTGCTTGGCTCCATTCCTCACTGGAGGAAATTCTGCAGTCTACCCTCCACACGCTAGGAAACTTCTGCAATAGGCCCACCTCCAGGACGCCCGGGACCCCAAAACACTTGTGCCAAGGAAACTGACAAAGTCGCGTGCCACGGGTGTCATCGAGGCAGCACCTTCTCCGCACCCCCACCCTGGTCTGGGGTCCCACCAGCCCGGGGTCGGGCGCGGGTCGGGGGCTCCGTTCCTCAGGCACGGGTACTGGCCGAGCTCACCGCAATCTCTGAAATGCACGGGCTCGGCCTGGACGGCGCCCAGCGCCAAGAGCAGCAGCGCGGCGGCAGACACTCGCATCGCGGGACAGGGCGCAAGCTCGGGAGACGCAGCGGCAGCGATCACAAGATAAACCCCAGGGGCGGGCCGGGGAGGAGCCCGGCCTGGCGACCAGTCCCCGGCGACCACAGCGGACGCCCGCCCGCCCCGGCCCAGAGCCCGCCTTCCGGGTCCCCGCCCCGCCCCGCCCCGCCCCGCCCCAGAGCCCGCCGTCTCTGCCGCGCCCGGCCCCAGTCCACCGTCATACGTCCCCTCCGCGCTCGAGCCCTTAGCCGGGATCCACCTCCGCCCCGCCTCCTCAGCCCTTCGCCCCTCTTTATTGGTGTGTCTCCGCTTCCTCCTCGAGCATTTCTAGCCAATCAAACATCGTATCCTCAAGCACTGCCCAATAGGCTCGCTCGAGGTGGGTATCTTCTGTGGGCCCGCCTCCCGAGGCGCAGCGCACGGAGGGGTGAGAGGTCAGGGCGCCGTGGGGGCGGGGCCCGCGAGCAAGATGGCGGGCGCCCGCTGGCTGTTCGCAGCGCTCTCCGCGCTGAGGGCAGTCTCTCCTTGGCCCAGGGTCAGGTATCGAGGCTAGAAGGGCACTTAGGAAAGGGGTCAGGCGCTGCGTCCCCATGACAGAAGGGAAACTAAGTCCCATGGGAGGGGAGAGTGTGGCGTGAGAATATCCAGGTGGGGTCACCTTGTGTGGCTTGAGGGTGTCCAAGTGGGGTCTCCAGGTTTGGTGTGTGGGTGTCCATGTGGAGTCCTCGGGTTTGCGGGAGGGCCTCCAGGGGTCCCCTTTGCCCTCGTGTCCTCGTCCTCCCTTGTGCGCAGGCTCCCTGCGGCTTCCCAGGGACAGCAGTCTCGTCGGGGAGCGTCGTCCTCCAGCCCTGAGGCTGGCGAGGGGCAGATCCGCCTCACGGACAGCTGTGTTCAGGTAGGAGGCCGCACACCGTCCCCGGACAGGCGCCCGAGTGAGGGCCCCCCTGCTCGCCTTTAACTCTCCTCGCCTGGAGTGTTTGATACCCTCCCTGCATTTCAGAGGCTTCTGGAAATCACCGAGGGGTCAGAATTTCTCAGGCTGCAGGTGGAGGGAGGTGGATGCTCCGGCTTCCAATACAAATTTTCGCTGGATACAGTTATCCATCCGGACGACAGGCAAGGAGCAAGGGTGGGTCCTCGGAGCGTGGACGGGAGGGATAAGTGTCTCCAGTTCAAGGTGCACTTTATTCCACGTTTACTAAGGTGGGTGAACGCCGCCCCTGTCACACAATGAGGATGCAGTCAATATATATTGTCTAGATCAAAATAACTAAACTATAGGAGGAAAATTGGCCTTCTTGGGGCACACAGGGTAGTTGGTAGAGAGTCAGGCGGGACTAGATTCCAGGCCTGAGCCCCTAAACATTTCCCAGTATTCATTGCTGGCTCTTTTTGCCTCAAAAAAAAAAAAAAAAAAAAAATCAGCACCTGTTAGAGGTAATAAGGAATGCTCCCCCTGTACTTCAATAAAAAGAGGATGTGCACACCTGGGCTCAAAGGGTGTAGTTTTGGTGTTTGTGATATTCCTTAACTGCCTTCCTCCTCTCTTTTCAGAGTATTTGAACAGGGTGGGGCAAGAGTGGTGGTTGACTCTGATAGCTTGGCCTTCGTCAAAGGGGCCCATGTGGACTTCAGCCAAGAACTGATCCGAAGCTCATTTCAAGTATTGAACAATCCTCAAGCACAACAGGGCTGCTCCTGTGGGTCATCCTTCTCTGTCAAACTTTGATGCCATGACTGGCGACCCTGAGATTGCTACCAGTTGTACCAATTTGAGGAACCTGGGATTGGCAGAATTCTAGAGGTTTCCTTCTAATCATGTCCCTCTCTCAATTTTATTTCCCTCAGTCCAGGAGTGTTTTTGCCACTATTATTTTCAGAATGTGAAACTTTTACTCTTGGTTTAATTCCCCCCTTTCTCCTGCGGTTTAATTCCCCCCTTTCTCCTGCATGCTAAGGCCAAGTCTCCAGATGCTGTTACCTCAGATACACTCACTGGTTGAGACTCAGTATAATCACTAGGGTCTTCCAGGCTCTAAAATTTGGAGTTACTTCTCTGGCCTTCAGAGCTGCTTGTACATATGTGTATAGCTATGTATAAAAGCTTTATTTTAAAGAAAGTCTTTATTGTGTTTTGGATCAGGCTCATGGATTGGGTAGCTTGAATGCCAGTTACCAGAAACGCAAATGAAATGTTCTTTTTCATTTCTTGCTGCCTGAATGTGCCATTTGACTATCCCTGTTGTCTATGCAGCCCATTCTCCCTTCCCATTTGACAGGGCAAATACATCTCACTCTCATACTCATGGACCTGTTAGGATTCATAAAATGAAGAGCCCATACCTAGAACACTTGGACCAAACGCTCACTGATACCTGAATTATTTTAAAAATAGCCTTCCTACTCCATACTCATACAGCCATTTCAAGATTATGTGACAGTTTAGTGACTGAATCTTTTTAGGATATGTTGCTTTGCCTACCTCATGGTATAAAATGTCTCTGGTCTCATGTATAGCAGGAAGTAGTCCCTTTGCCGGTGTGGATAATAAATACTTAGGGACCTTCTTTTAGATTGGATTACCAGATGAAATGCAGGATGCCCAGTTCAGTTTGAATTTCAAGCTGGGTGTGGTGGCTTGTGCTTGTAATCTCAGCACTTTGGGAGGCCAAGGGAAGAGGATTGCCTGAGCCCAGGAGTTCAAGACCAGCCCTGGCAACTTGGTGAGACCTCATCTCTACAATAAATAAAAAGGTTAGTCGGATGTGGTGGCTTGCACATGTAGTTCCAGCTATTTGTAAGGCTGAGGGGGGAGGGTCGCCTGAGCCCAGCAGGTCGAGGTTGCGGTAGCCATAAGCATGCCACTGCACTCCAGTCTGGGTGACAGAGTAAGACTCCAACTCAAAAAAATATTTTGAATTTTAGATGACAGTTTATACTAAAAAATTTAGTATAAACTATTTGTTGTTTATCTGAAATTCAAAATTAACTGTCCTGTATTTTTAGTTACTAAACCTGGCTACCCTATTTTGGGGTCACTGAAGAAAACTTTTTAAATTACAAACTCCAGTGAATTAAAGTACCTGTTAAGGCATACAGCACTTGCATAGATGATGGAACTTGAAATTAATTCATTACAGTGCTGGGCAGCCCAGTGTTACATGGATAGATAACTGAAGAAAAAAAAAGAATTCACCACCATTATCATAACAGAGAACTTATTAATACTAATGTTGGGGAAACCATAACCAAGTTGATTTCAGAAGAGTTATTGGTTAAATCCATCTTTTGTTTGGAAGCCTAGAAGTTTGTTAGAGCAAAAACTTGTATTTCTGGACTGGATTGGAATTAAGGTCATTTAGTAAGAGAATCTACCATTAAAACAATAAATATAGGCCTGGCATACTGGCACATGCCTATAATCCCAGCACTTTGGGAGACCTAGGCAGGAGGATGACTCGAGACCGGGAGTGCAAAGCCAACCTGGGCAACATATTGAGACCCCGTCTCTATACACACACACACAAATTAGCTGGATGTGGTGGGGCATGCCTGTAGTCCTAGCTACTTGGGAGGCTGAGGTACGGAGTATCACTTAAGCCCAGTGGTCAAGGCTGTGGTGAGCCATGACTGTGCTACTGCACTTCGGCCTGGGCAACAGAGCAAGACTTTTTTTTAAACGAAATAGAATTTAAAAACTCAATATCTGAGACAGATACTTACCTTTTCAATATAAAAAATCCAGGACTGAGAGAAAACAAACCTATCGTGGTTAGACGAAGGGAAGAGACACAGCTGAGCAGGTTTCTCAGCTTCCCGCAGAAAGGCAGAAAGCAGCATGCCATAGAAGTGTTTGTATACACATTACTGAAACACTGAAAGTTGCTGCTGATACCAGGGCCTAATGAGATGTTCGGTTTGGACTAGTTTCTTTCATCTGCCTTAAAAAAGAAATTTTGCTACCTTTTAAGCATTAGAACCCATTCTTCTAGAACAGGGGTCCTCAAACTTTTAAAACGGGGCCAGTTCACTGTCCCTCAGACCGTTGGAGGGGTGGACTATAGTTTAAAAAAAAAAAAGGAATTTGTTCATAGTTTTCTTTTTTAAACTATAGTCCGCCCCTCCAACCGTCTGAGGGACAGTGAACTGGCCCCCTGTTTTAAAAGTTTGAGGACCTCTGTTCTAGAATATTTGTGTGGGTTATTTATTGATTTGGGGTTTTAAAACTTCTGAGCACAAGCAAAATAGTTAGAGTTGCATAAAACATGTGCAATTCATTACATTACAGTGGCCCCTTAGAATGCCGATGCATAAATGTACCTACTGTAAGTGGGAGAGTTGGAATTTTCGGTTTAGAAAAAGGTGGATTTGGGAAAAATCACCTTCACACAGAGAAAGCTGCATGGAGAGACCGGAAGTGGTAACAAGTCTCCATTGCAAGAGGGAGATTAAGGGTAGAGGAGAATGAAAACATCCGGAGGACACTGGGCAGTTTGCTTGGGATAAACAGTTTGCATGGGAAAATGGGTTTAGGATCTTCTGCAGGTCCTTTCTGACCCTGGGGGTCCATAAAAGTCAGTGGCCATTCTTACAAATTTTGCTTACTGCATAGATTCATTTAGGAAGACATATTCTTCCAGTATCAATTGGAAGATCTTTTGCCTTCCTATTGTTAAGGGAAAGTTGTCAAGGCCTTACTTGTTGCAGAATTGGTTTTATTTTAACTTTTAATGCAAACCATTATCGGGGCTTCAAACAAGAACCAAAGGCAAGAGAGCTCTGGACCTGCTTTATGTTGTGAATCAGCTTTATGTTGGTTCAGAGAGGGGGCCTCTTGGTCAATGTCCAGATCTTATTGTGGTATCATAGTAAGTTGTGTAGTGACAGTGAGTAGTGGTGTGAAACCATATGTGTCCCACCCACATGTCCCATTTCTGTGCAGGAATGTCACTGATTACAAGACAACTGGAAGAGATTAGGAAGGACTACTAAAATAGGGGTCTAGGGAGATGCTCTTCCTCTTTCTTCTGAGAATTGAGCACTGTTCTTTTGTCTTTTTTAATAAAGCATTAGAGTGCAGGGCTGACATTTGACAGGAGCAGCCTGGTGTAGTGAAGTGGGTGACACTGATGATGGCGCTTGAGCTCTGGCCTCAGCTGATATGCGGCTGGCCTGGGGCAGGGCCTAACACATGTTTGAAAGGTAGGAAGCTCCTCTACGTTCCTTTGTAACTAGCATTGAAGTTTATGATTGTTCTATTAAAATCCCTGTTTGACTTTTTTTTTCCTCCATAAAAATGCCACAGGGCTGCCTAACAGAAGCTTGCTTTAAGAAATTTGGAAATAATTATCACCTGACTTAAATTGTAAATTATAGTTAGTTAAATATATAATGGGAGGGACCATTTAAGCAGTCTGTGGCCAACAGTTGTATTTAAAAATATTTTATTTTTTTAAAAGGTAATACATATGGTACAAAATCTAAAAAGATACAAAGGGGATACATTGAAGTGTCTCCCAGTCCTGTACCTATCCATTCTGTCACCCTCCCAGCAAACCACTGTTGTTTCTAAGAATGTATTCCACAGATATAATCCCATAAGTATAATGTGAAATAACATGCACAAGAATAGTCATATTATTTATAATAGCAAAAGATAGAAACAATGGGGGACTGATTAAATAAATGGCAGCTTATTCATTCAGTGGAGTGGTATACAGCTAGAAAATGGAATGAAGCAGCTCTGCAAGTATAAAGTGAAAAAAGCAAAGTGTAGAACAACATGCATAGCATATCACTAGTGTTAATAAAGGAAATGTGCATACATGCATGCTGTATCAGGAAGGACAGGCCGGAAGTAAAAGGTTGGAGGGTTGGGGCACAGTGAGAACAGCATTTAAGAAGGCACAGCCCAACAGGGGGAACTTGGGGATTGCGAAGAAGAAGTCTGAATGAGGGGGCATAAGGTGGAGTGGCAAGGATGAGGTGAACAGATAACCACTTTATCCTCTTCCTTTAGACAAGTACACACGTGTATCATGCCATCATACAGCCTCCCTTTGATGTCTTTCTCATCCAGGCATTTAGAGCCATTTCTTTTTCTTTTTAAGGAAGGATTCATAGCAATTGATTGTTTCTGATCTTTTGCTATTACAAATAATGCCATAATAAATAACCTCTTACATATTTCATATTTGGTTTAAATACCTCTGAAGGTTAAATTCCTAGAAGTGGAATTACTGGATCAACGAGTGAGTGCTTCTGTGATTTTGAAAGACGCCATGTTATCCTTTTCAGAGGAGGTACCAGTTTACTATCAGCTATGTGAGAGTGTCTGTTTCCCCCAGAGGCTTGCCAACTAGGGGTCTTAACACACTTTTTGATGTTTGCCAGTCTGACAGTTTTTAAAAGGCATCTCAGTATGGTTTTAAGTTGAATTTCTTTTATTGTGAATGAAAGAATATATTCATATGTTTAAGAGTTATTTTTGTTTGCTGAAAAAAATCTCAACTAGTATGGTGACCTAGAGCAAATCATTTAAGCTTTCTATGTTTCCTCACATGTAAATTGGGAATAAAAAATATTAAGTAGGGTTATTGAATAATTAAATAAAATTTATGTACAGCACTCCACACAGTGCCTGGCACATTCAGTAAGTTATTAAGTGATGGCTGACAGGTAGGACCAGACAGATGAAATTAAGGAAGAAGTACACATTTTCCACACCTCTAGGCCTGTGGAGCCTTGCTGTTTACATCACCATTCCTCAGAGATGTGCAGAGTTGGAGCTTTCCATGTCTTTTCATAATAAAGAACCTTTCCCATGAGCCCAATCATAGCCTATCAGTAGAGTGGGCCAGGGGTTGGTACAGCCTCCTCTCTAGTGTTTACACTTAGCCAGCATGGTGAAGAAATTTGGTCTAATAAATAAAAACAAGGACAGAAAAGCCCGGATGTATATGTCTTTATTCCATCATGTTCTGAACTCCCAGCTCGCCTGGGTTGGATGAGTCTGCTTGTAAACTTGGGTGCCTGCCATACCTTTCCGGATGGGGAGAGGGCAGAGACTTCCAAGTAGAGGGGAAAGACAGCATTGGAAGTCTGGCTTCCTCTGAGAAGGACCACACCAGAAAACAGACCTTATTTCTGGCACATCAAACTGGTTTTCACAAAAGGAGAGCCCAGAAGAGGTCTGTCTTCTATAAGAAGCATGTAATAAGGTCATTGGAGGCGCGTCCTCTGTCTTGTGGCTGCCCTTGCAGCTGGTGCCCAGGGGCTGTTGTCAGGTGGATTTGAATATGTATTACCCGAAGCAACCGAATACATTCTTTAGATGTGTATAAAGCCATGGCTCCCCTGTCTTGAGCCCCATGAATTCATGTCTTCTTGCTGCTCTCGCAGGCTCTTTGTTCCTCTTTGTTGTGTCTCTTACCCTCAGCAAGTGATAGCGGTCTTGCTTCTCTGAGTGAGGGCATCTCCTGCTGCTCTCAGGTGCCAGAGAACTGGCTATAGGCCAGAGAGCGGGTGAAGTCAGGACCCCAGATGAGGCTGGCCAAGTGGTGGTGATGGTTCTTGGGAGGGGGTGTTGGTGTCATCCCCAAACTCCCCCAAACCCTTTCTTGCTCCACGGATTCTGAAGGGCCTGCCCAGGGCAGGTGGAGCTTCTGTCTCAGTGGTGGGATCATCAGGGTGACAGTGGCTCATGGTTGGAGGGGGTGTCTGGTGTGAGGCCTGCACAGCTTGAGTGGTAGACAAGGGCCAGCTGTGGTGAGTGTCCCATAGCAGGACCAGGGCAGGCAGTAGACCAGGCCTCCTGGCCAGTGGCTGAAGCATGAAAGCAGTGGGTGGTGTTTGACCAGGTAAGGGCATGGCGGCAGTGGTGGAAGCTCAGCCAGAGGCTAGGCTGGGAGAGGTGGAGGCAGGCCAGGCTGAGGAGAGCCTTGGGCCTGATGTCATGGTGTCCTCCCAGCTGGGAAAGCATTCTCCAGGCCCCGCCTTTGGCTGGGGCCACTTCCAGGTGTCTGCCCACACGGAGCCCTCAGGCTACTCCTCAGCAGTGCAGTGTGGGGGGCCTGCCTCAGCCACATAGCCTGGGGCACAGTGGCAGCGATAGGAGCCTTCTGTGTTCTCGCAGTAACCGTGGGCACAGAGCACGGCAGGCCCGTTCAGGTCATCACACTCATTCACATCTAGGGAAGAAAGCAACAGAGAGCTGCTGGGAGCTCAGGTGCCCCTGGCCCACAGCCTCTGCCCCTCTGGGCACAGAGCCCTGGCCCCTGTGACCCCTGCCCCTGCCCAGTGTAATCCTTGGTGTGACAGCGAGAGGCTTCCCACAATTTCTTACAACCAAGCAACTCAAGGACACAGAGGCAGGGCTGTGAGTATACACCACGCCTGAGACCATGCTCTTTGGTCCTGCCTTTGGTCTAGGAACCTCCATGGAAGGGACTTCCCCTTGGAGCTCTACTCCCTCCACATGCCCAGTGCAGACAGCCCTGCTGGGGGCAGCAGCAGGTTCTAAACTCAGTACTTGTGGGCAGCGGCCAGCCTGACCTCTCTGGGGGACTCTGCACACTCACCCACGCAGGCCATGTGGGCTGCGTCCAGCTGGAAGCCCTCCAGGCAGTCGCAGGTATAGCCTTCCCGCACGCGGACGCAGCGGCCATTCTCACAGCCGTTCAAGACCCCACACTCCTCCGCCTGGAGCCCCTCAAAGCTGGCCAGGGACTCTGGGGGGAAGGAGGCACAGAGGGAAGTTGAGGCCTGTCCAGACTCTTATATCGCCAACACTGGACTGGACCCTTAACCCCCAGTGAGAGCAGGGAGGCTCACGACATCCCCACAGACACTGGAACTTAAGGCTGTACTCTTCTGAGTCGGAGTCTCACTCTGTCACCCAGACTGGAGTGCAGTGGCACGCTCACAGCCACTGCAACCTTGACCTGCTGGGCTCAGGTGGCCTGTCTGCTTCAGCCTTCCAAGTAGCTGGAACTACAGGTGTGTGCCACCATGCCCAGCTCATTTTTAAATTTATTATAGAGACGAGGTCTTGCCAAGTTGCCCGGGCTGGTCTCAAACCCTTGGGCTCAGACAGTCCTCTCGCCTCTGCCTCCCGAGGTGCTGGGATTATAGGTGTGAGCTACTGTGCCCAGCTAAGGCTGTACTCTTAAAACACAGCATGCCATTTGCTGTTGGGGAATAGTGCCACAAGTCCTTGAGGCGAGGCTGGGGGAAGCCTGGAAGTTGCTGCTTTCACAGGGCCCGGACTTTGGCCAGTGGTGTTCTATATAGTTTTTGAGGGGTGTTTTGTTGAAATCTGACTTCCTTAGGATCCAAGCCCTGAGTGCTAGGGTCGTCACCATTCACAAACCGAGTCACCACAGTGGGCTTTTAAAGTCATTAGAAATTCTTAATTCCCACTCCAGGTCACAAGCCTGACTGCTGGCGTCCCTGAAGCAGGTTACTCTGCATCTTACAGGTGGTATAGGAGAGAGAGAAAAACAGGAGGGCACTCGCCTGCCCTCGACTCCCACAGGAAGGCCTGTGAGGGTGGGACCATGTACCCTACCTCTGTGTCTCTCTGCTGGCTCATGACAGGGAGTTGTGAGAGTCTGACCCAGGCATATGGAGTTATCTCTTGAGGAACTGTCGGTGGGGACATCTGGCTGGGTGTGTCTTTCCTGCTAGCCACAGCCCCCACCCTTGCTGGCAATGTGACTGGCAGGTGGGGGAGGTGGGAGTGAAACAGCCTCAGTGTCCACTTCTTCCCATTTTTTTGCAGCAACACAGACCTGGCTGGCTGGCCACGTAGCGGGGCTGGAGCTCCGAGGGCTGCAAGGGAGACTCGAGGACCGGTGTGCGGCCGTGGCCAGCCGTGTTGGGGAAGGCAGGCTCAGGAACGGTGTTTTCTGGGACCAGGTAATTGTAGAAGGGGGCCTCGTCGGGGCCATAGAGGCCGTCGTGCAGGTCATCGGGCCCAGGGCCATACTCATAGCCCGGCCGGAAGTGGACCCCAGCTTCGCGCTCTGCCTCGATCCGGGCCACATTGCACAACTGAGCATAGACCTCTGTCAAGGGAGAGACAGCTGGGTTCCCATGCCTGCTGCCTGAAGCCTGGTGGGCTCCTCCTGGAGTGTGTGGGGCGGGTGCTCTCTGAAAATCCCCGTCATTCCTCTCCCAGAGCTCCCCAAACAACAGGAATGGAAGCCAGGACCTGCCTTCCCTGCTCCTTCTTTCTAGACCCCCTCCAAGGTGGGGCTAGCACCCCCTCACCAGAGCTTCGGGGTGGGCACAGGGCACACTGTTGGCTCCAGGCCTCGCCATCCTGGCAGCAGCATTCGGTGTAGGTGGTGCGGTGCCCACGCAGGGGCTGGCTGCATATGTCGTGGGTGACCTTCTTCCAGCAGACGTCCATGTGGATGTCATGGTCAGGGAGGTCTTCTAGTGGCACAGAGCATGGAGGCACGTGAGCCCTTGCCCTGGCCCTGCCCAGCTGCCCCATCTGGCCCACTCACCTGTGCTGCTATTGACGCAGCGCCGCTGGCTGGGGTCCAGCGTGAGTGGGGGGCTGCAGAAGCAGTGGAAGGAGCCCGCGGTGTTCACACACTCGCCGTCCTCACAGGCCAGGTCCTGGCACTCGTCGTGGTCTGAAGCATGAGAGGTGGGCAGTGCCAGGTGGCCTCTCCCCCAGCACCCTCAGTGGAGGGGCTTCCCTGTCCCTGACGATGGAGTGGTAGCATGCTGTCCCCTCCAACCCAGCCCAGCCTGGGATGCCCCTCCCCTGCGGCTTCTGGCAGGGCTGGGGTCAGAGGGCCTGGGGTGGGGGGTCTGCATGCCTCACCCTCACACGTCCTACGGGAGGTGTCATAGTGGTATCCTGGGTTGCACAGGCACACGTAGCCAGGCACTGTATTGAGGCACTGGCCATTGGAGCAGAGACCGGGCCCGAACAACACACACTCGTCGGCATCTGTGGGAGGCACAGCAGGGCAGTGGGAGGTGAGAAGCAGATGGGGTGGTGCCCAGGATGGGTGGTGAGGGGGTTGGTCCTCCAAGCCAGGCTAGGCTCGAATCCCAGCTCCATCACTTACTAGTTGGGTGGCTTTGGGGAAGTTGCTTAAGTTCTTGCTTCTGCCTCCCACCTGCCTCCCAACCTCTTACAGACGTTAGGAGGGTTCCAGGGAAAGCAACTTCGGTGTCTGCCATTTTCTTCCCAGGACCAGGGCACAGAGGGGCACAGTTCCCGAACACCCCATTGTGAGTGTGGACTCCAGACTGCCTGGTTCCTCTGGAGCAGGCCTCTTGCTTTCCCTGTCTGCTTTCCCACGTGTGGCTGGGGGGCAGGCCCACCAAGCCGTCATAGCCTGCTCCTAGAGGGCACAGCCTTGGGGGAGCAGGGAAACTGAGGCAAGGGTCATCGGGACGCTCTGAGAGAGGCTTGGGTCAGGAGGTCCAGCTGGAGCTCTGCAGGACGTCAGGCCCAGACGGAAATGATGGGGGCAGCCTGGAGGCCAGGCCTGGAGGCCAAGCTTCCCGGGGATACCTTGGAGGACCAGGCCAGGCCACCCCAGAGAGCGGGCTAGGGGAGGAAGTGACGAGTTAGGTTACCTGTGTACATGGTCTGTCCAAAGGTCCAGGCTCCCTCCATAGGGATGTAGCCTTTGCCGCTGGGACAGATCTCGCTGAATTCAACTGCAGAGGCATTGGCGCTCAGAGAGGGCTGGGCTCTTCCCCCACCTCCTTTCACTGTCACCTCGCAGAGCTGAGCCTGCGGGGATCTGGAACCCTAGGGCCTCACCTGAGTCCTCAGATGGGCAGAGGTCACAGGCCTCTCCCCAGCTGGTGCCCTCGGTGCAGCAGCATTCGACCTGAGAGGTATTCCGGCCCAGGACATGGGAGCAGGGTGGGTGGCCATTCTGCCCTGAGTAACATTCCGTGCGGCTGGAGCCTGGGGTGTGGGCCCCTGGTGGGGCCTCAGGGATGCTCTGACCTGCGTGTGATAGATGTTCCTTGTCTGTTCAGTCCTTGAATGTATTTCTTAAGTTTTACATTTACATAGTACTTTACAGTGCATGCAATTCTGTTACCTGTATCACCTTACTTGTCGTTCTTACCCCTGTGAGGTGGGAACTACTATCATTTCCCTCTCACAGATGGAAAATGGAGGCTGGGGACAGTAGGGGATTTGCCCCAGCCATGCGGCTAGTAAGTGAGGATGCAGGGATTTGGCCTCAGTTCCTTTGTGCCAAGCTCACCCAGCCTTCCTGTGGTGAAAGGTCCCCATCCCTGGTGTGTCACATGGGCAGCCCTCTATGCACACTGCTTCCCACATACCTGCCCGCCCTGGCACCCTTCCTTGTCTTAGGTCCCCCTTGCTTTTCCCTGGTGAAGGCCCTGAGTCCCAGCCCAGCCTGGGTCAGAGGCTGAGGCCAGCAGCACTGGGATGTGGTGGGAGCAGGGCAGGGGTGAGTTTGCCGAGCTCAGCTGCAAGTCCTCTGTCCTCTGGAAGATGCCCAGGACTGGATGGACTCAGGGTCCCTCCAAGGATTGGTCTGAGGTCCCGGGGCCATCCCAAGTCAGAGTCAGAGCATCCCGTGCCTCCACTAGGGCCATCACAGCCCCACAGCCTTTGGACACTGCCTGGGGCAGACCCACTTGTTCTGGTGTGTGCGGGAACCCCAGACATCATGCCCCACCCC